AAGGAAGGAAGGAAGGAAGGAAGGAAGGTTATGACAAACACTTGAAAGGAGACCCAGAACCCTGTAATTGTGGATTTTTCCTGGCAAGAACAAGAACGCTTCAACCTAGAAATAAGGAAAAAAGTCTTGACAGTTAGAACAATTCATCAGTGGGACGGGTTGCCTCCAGAAGTTGTAGCTGTTCCAAAACTGAGATTTTCAAGAAGAGATTGCACAGTCATTTGTCTAAAATGGTATAGGGGTCTCCTGCTTGACCGGCGGCTGGACTAGAAGACCTTTGAGGTACCTTCCAACCCTGTTATTTTGTATTCTTTGCCTAAATCTTTAAGGCCTCTGTCCCCAGGCAAAGTCTCTCTGCAGTCTTATCTGAACCAAAGTGTAGAAGTCTCCTCACGTCTCTTATCCAGCTTGAGGGCAGCCCTGATAAGGACGTTGCATCATCTCATCAGGTGAACAAGCTACAAATTCCAACAGATCATGGTCACCCCCCAAACTAACTAATTCGGGACTTTCCCAGTGCTGCTGCCACTCTGGAAAGGCGAGTTTTGCTTGAACACAGAATTGACCCATGGACATCAATAGGGACCTGCCTAGCTTCCCACAAACTGTTCAGCCAATGTAACTCTCAAATTTCCCACCTCTTCTTCAACCATCTTGTGAAAGAGGAAGGAATATGGATTCTCACTGCATTAAGTCACCCTGCTTCCTGGATCTGCAGGGGTGAAATTCCCAGTGGGGAGAATAAATAGAACGAGCATCCCAGGTGTGGGACAGACGGCTTCATCATGTCTTCTGGAGGTCTTCTTCTCCTGATGGGACTCCTCACCCTCTGGGCAGAGCTGACCCCCGTCTCTAGCCAGGACCGTCCAAGTGAGTTTCCAGAATGATCTTGAAACCCTTTGCTGGGAGGGCCCGATGTGAGCAGAGGGCATAGGTCTCCCCCAGGGAGGGAAAACCAAGAGCCCTGGTCTAGAACCTCTGGCTTGGTGGTGCCTCTTCTGGGAAGCTTCTTGAGATGGTAGTTGGGTCTCAACTCAATAGGATACAGAAATGGGAGGGGACAAAAGATGTCTGACTTATCTTAACTCAATCCAACAGCAGAATCACGATTTTAAGCATCAGGAAGCATCCATTCCAGACATCCAATCCAAATCCCAGTCCAGGAAACCAAATTAAAACATCTTAGATGGCTCTCGATTGTTCTCAGACTGAGTATGCTAGGAGGGCACCAGGTTAGGGAGGTGTTTTAAAGAGGTTTGTGCTGCCTAATCAAATAACACCTTCCCCTCTGTTGTCACAGAGATTTGTTATCTTCCTGCTGAGCGTGGACCGTGTAGAGGTGCAATCACTCGCTTCTACTACAACCCGGATTCAAACAAATGCCAAGAGTTTACTTACGGTGGATGCCACGGCAATGACAACAATTTTGAGACCAAAGATGAATGTCACTACACCTGTGTCGGTAAGTAGGGAAGGAGCTGTGGACAGACTCTTCCAATAGAAGAGAATTTATGTATCTCAAGGTTGAACTGTGGGGTCCTTGGTGCTCTCTGAACTTGCAGATGATCCAACTAGGGAACATCGTCAGTGCTAGAAAGGAGAGGAATTTGTGGGGAGGAGAAGGGGGAGGAGAAGAAAGGAGGGGAGGAAGAGGAGGAGGAGGACTGAGCTTCTCTTGTTTTTTTGCAGATGTTTCATGACCCAACTAGGGAACATCATCAGTGCTAGAAGGGAGTGGGGTTTGCAGAGAGGAAAAGGAGAGGAGGAGGAGGAGGAGGAGGAGGAGGA